ATTGATCAAGATGTTAAACAGGACTGGCCGCTTGTGAGTGGTTGTCAACTGGATTTAGCTCCATTCACCACAAATCACTAATTGATCACTAATTCAAATTGCCAATTTTGATTGGTTTGTTACATAGCACATAAGATTCTTCAGTATCTACAAGGTGTTTTTTTCAGAGTTTTTTTTAAAAGCTTTTAATCCATGACCTTTTTTCAAAACTAAAAATTGGACCTTTTTAGGGAGATAGAAGAGAAGAACATCTCCCACAGGTTGCAGACATTTACCCCAACTTCTGTACGTGCCAGCCCCTGTGCATGCTTCAACTGACCTTGCACTGTGACTCTGGCTTTTGTTTTGGAGTCCTCTGTCTCGCAGCTGTACTCCCCACTGTCTTTGACTGTGGAGTCATGGATGATCAGGATGGCTCGTGTTCCCTCTTGGTGTATGTCATATTTCTGGCTTTTTCGGATTGCTTTGCCATCCTTGTACCATCTGATGGTCACATCGGGTTTCGACAATTCACAGCTCAGGCTGATGTCCTGCCCAACTGTTGATGTTTTATTCTCCAGCTGTTTTGTAACCTCAGTTGGTTTTTCTAAGGAGGGGAAAAAAGATAAAAGGGAACTTTTAATAAAAATTATGATCACCATATGGTTGGGGTTTTTAGCAATTCAAATATCCAGCAAGTTTTCACATTCCCTAATGAATGATTCATATTATGTTTGGGAAGGGAGGGGAAAAGCAGTCTGGCTCTTTAGTAGATATTAATTACAGTTACGGGCTCTCAGTGAATATTAATGATTGCTTACAGGAACTGAGGACTTGTCCTGATGGTATCTATTGCATTTTTATAACACTGAAGCTACTGTAGGTGTGCAGTTGTGGTGGGATCTAAATCAAAACTGCAGACATCATGCTATAGATATACGTAGCAGAGGCACTCACTCTACAGCCAGCAGTGATTGACTGAGTACAGGCAATAGACTTCAAGGAACAATTTATTTTGTCCTAAATAGGACTAACTGGATGATGAACCATGTGTAAAAAAACTCCTTGTTTGATCCGTGGGTGATCATCTAAGATGCACACAGTAATTGTCTGTACAACTACATTATCCCAGGTATTCTGCAATTCTCAAGTATCTATAAAAAGTTTCAGCCTTTCACTTGTTTTTAGGGAAAATTCTCAGTGCCTCAGGGCTCACAGAAAGGCTTCACTTTCATCATAAGAGTTTGCCTCCATGGTTTACTGACACACCTTATGAAAAGACACCCAAGAACCTTTCTGATCTCATTACCTTTCACAACCAGAGAAGCCTTGGAGGTTAGACCCCGGGTGGTGAAAACGACTTCCCCAGCATCATCAAGAATCACACTTTGAATACTGAGAGTGTATTTCCGACCCATGTTTGAGGCTCTAAATCGCCCACCACTTTCCACTTTGCTCCCATTCAGCGTCCAGTTGAAGTCGCCAAAGCTTTCATGGGACAAAATACACTCAAAGGTGCAATCTTCTCCCTCCTGGATTTCAGTGTTCTTCAGCCGTTTGGTGATGCCAATGATCAGTTCTGGAAGACAAGAAGTAGGTTAATACAAGGTATAAAGGCTTTTATGATTAATGTGAATAATGTGTATTGATATTTTTGGCTCATGAGACTGGTTTATCTATAGGACTGGCATGATAGCACTGCATTCCTTACAGATATCTTTGACATGGGAGGGATTTCTCAGACATTATCCACTCAAGATCACCACAAAGCTATGGAAAAAGGGACACATGAACCTCCTGGCCTTGCTCTGGAGGGACTGCATGGAGAACAGCTCATTTGGCAGAGAAAAGTCAAGATTCAATGAGCTAGAGGGGAGAAAAGCTGTCAGACAGGAAGCTTCTGGGACACTGTATGAGGTTTTTCTCCGTGCAGATGTGAGAAATGGGATGTTTGTATTTGTTAACTTGTTAGCATCCTACCCGTCCTGGTGTTCAAGGCAGACTAATGTAAAATTTGTCTTATTATCAACAGGAGTTTGGAAACCAAGGACACTCCTCTTTCCTGATGAATGGTGGGTTCTTGGGTTCTTCAGTAGGCAATGTTGTTGTCTCTTGCGTTCCCGCAACTGACTCTTAATTGCTGAACCATCTCAAACATGAACTTTCTTTTTTTTTTTTTTTAAGAAATAAATTAGTTGCTCTTCTGGGAGGATTTTTCCACTTTAGGGATGTTCAGGAAGGAAACTTCATCGATATATCCATACATGAACTTCACTGAAATACCAGCTATACTTATATGAAAGAGCAATGGGGATTGCTCAAACATCTCTGTGTAATGTGGGAAATTCTGTTAGCACTGGTCAAGAGTGGAGGCCACTGAGTCTCATGGAGGAATAGGTGTGAGAGAAAATGACCAACCCCACCCAAATTTGCAGCACCCCTTGACTGGTCATCACCTACAATACTTACCCTGAACACTGACTTTTGATTTGGCGACATCAGTGCCAATATCACACGTGTATAAACCTGCATCTGTCTTTTCGAGGTCATGGATAAGGAGGCACAGGGTCTTCCCAGACTGGATCTGCTCATACTTGTTACCAGCAGTGAGGTTCACACCATCCTTTTTCCAAACAGGTTTGACCTTCTCTTTGGAGACTTCACATTCCAGTTTGATCACACCTCGCTCCTCACCAAAAACATCGTCCAAGGACTTCATGAAGACAGCAGGCTTCTCTGAAGGTTGATGGGCAAAACAGAGAACAACCAGGATATTTAAATCAAGACATTTCCAGCTGCTACCAAATATTTAAAGAGAGCTTAAATAAACCCTTGGAGATGCTGATGATACAAATGCAGAACGTAAAGCAATCTCACAGCTCGTGATTGAAATGAGCTTTGGGGAAATCAGAATTTATTAACAGGAAGATGCAGGGAAGGAGAAAGGCAACCTACATTGCCATGGGTGGGGAGTGATATTCAGTGCTGTAGTTGTGGCCTGCACAGCTGAGTTGTACATACAGGGGACACTTTTGACGAGATATAAAAGAAGGAAAGAAAAGGAAATCCTTCAGACTCTCTGAGTGGATGGAGTAAAAGAGTGAAATTGTTCAGATACTACAGGAAGAACAAATTGGTCATGACCAAGAGGCAAAATACAAGGGAAATCAGAGATGATTCTCTAAGAAGATATGGAGGATGTCAGACTGTGACTTTCAAAGAGAATAGCTCAGAATTTCCCGCTCATGTTTCCAGACACACAAAGGACTTAATTTAGGATAAACAGATCACTGTGATTTGCCTTAACACGTGCACCTACAGGTGCATTGTGACAGAAAATAGGATTTTGACATTTTGGTGAGAGCTTTACCTCATGTTTCTAACATGCCTAAAATAATTCATGTAACTTAACGTGGCTCAGCTGCTGCACAACAACATGTTACACCACAGCAACTCAGATGCGTGACCAAACTTTAAGGCATATTACAGACTGCAGGAAACTGCCTCCTCTTTGCTGAATCAGTCCAACTCCAGAACTGATGTACTGAAAGGTGGGCCCTACCCTTGGAGACACACCAAAACTCAGCTTCTTGCAGACAAAAATCTTTATAAATAGCAGTTTACAGACTATGCACTATTGAAGAGACCTACAAGTAAAGGATGTTGCTCTTGAGACTACCCTGAAGATAAATAGAAGGCGGCTAAACATCTATGGTCTTCCTTAGAAAAACCATAAGCTACAGTAGAAACTCACACTGGAAGAAAGCCCTTGCACACTTATTCCTCAGCCCCAGAGAGTTGAAGCTTACGAGCAGGAATTCTGCATGGATATAGTAAATATGAGCTCCTCTGCATCTCTTATTTACATTCAGGAGATGCGTGGTCACGACCCACCTATCACCTTCAGACGCACGCTCTCCGACACCTTGTCTGACTTCATTGTCACCGTGCCAGCGTCCTCAGGCTTGACCTGCTTCATCGTCAGCGAGTAGCAGTTGCCGACATTCTTGATGTCATTGAAGTTGTTGGTGTAGAGGAAGATGCCATTGAGGAACCATTCCACATCCTCGTCGTCGTGGGACAGCTCGCAGGAGAAGACAGCGGAACCCTCTTCTTCGATTTCCACGTCCTGCAGGTGTTTGAGCACTTCTACATTGCGGGCTGTAGGAAACCAAGGTACATCATCACTACAGCTAAACCATAGATCTGTATTACCACAAACAGATTTCAGAGTGTTTAGAGTTTAGTAGATGGTGTAGTCTGGTCTCCTGTACATCACGGGTCATTACATTTCAGGATGACCATGAGTCAGCAATGTGCCCTTGTGGCCAAGAAGGCCAATGCCATCCTGGGGTGTATCAGAAGGGGTGGTTGTAGGGCAGAGAGGTTCTCCTTCCCCTCTACTCTGCCTTGCTCAGACCACATCTGCAATATTGTGTTCAGTTCTGGGCCCTCAGGTCAGGAAGGACAGGAACTGCTTGAAAGAGTCCAGCAGAGCCACAAAGATGCTGGAGGGAGTGGAGCATCTCCTGCTGAGGAGCAGCTGAGGGAGCTGGGGCTCTTGAGCTTGGAGCAGAGAAGACTGAGGGGTGACCTCACCCATGGGGATCAATTTGGAGAGGGTGAGTGTCAGGAGGAAGGAGCCAGGCTCTGCTCTGGGATGTGCAATGCCAGGACAAGGAGCAGTGGGAGCAAGCTGGAGCACAGGAGGTTCAAGCTGAAGATGAGGCCCAACTTTGTCAGTGTGAGGGTGGCAGAGCATGGCCCAGGCTGCCCAGAGAGGTTGTGGAGTCTCCTTCTCTGGAGACATTCAAACCCCTGGCTGTGTTCCTGTGTGACCTGGTCTGGGTGATCCTGCTCTGGCAGGGGTTGGACTGGGGGAGCTTTCGAGGTCCCTTCCAACTCCTGACATTCTGTGATTCTGTGATTTCATTTACTTGGTTCTGCATTTGGTCCAACAATAAAAGTCCATTAAAAAGATTACATTTGAGCACCCTCAATTCTCTTTTTAAACATAAAACTGTCTTGCTTTTTTTTCTTTTTAATTTTAAAATAAGTAATTCTTTCTAATGAAATGCTGTTTCTCAAGAAGTAGCCTACTCAGAGGAAACTTTGGGAGTCTTAAATCATTTTGGCATTTTGATGAACCTCTGCAAGGCCAAACTGCTACCAAAAGCTGCTGCCTGGATTTCTGACAATGATTCCATGGCTCATCTCCAATTTTGCTGAAAGCAACACGGCGAACATCTTTTCTTACAGTTTCACCAGAGGTGAAGAACTGGCTAAAAATAGTGGCATACTCGGATGTGGTAGAATGTCATCATGCATAACAAATGTTTAGCAGATATAAAAGCTGACACAGTGAGCAGAAAATAAGAACTACAACCAAGATCACCAGAATCGGAGGCCTGCAGCAGTTTAACACTAAGAACATTTTTAGCAAGAAGTACCAGAGCTCTGGTTCCTCAGATGAAATGGAAAATAATGTGCTGTGAGAAATATGCATGAATTTCTGCCTTACCCAGATGGTGCCCTTCCACATGCATTACCTGCTCCATGGTAAGCGCTGAAATTCAGTATCATGGAATATCAGCGCTGCGTATAACACAGTTAGCTCACTGAAGATACTGCATTTATAGAAATTCAGCAGAAAATAACTGTGTGGGTCTATCTCTACTCAAGAGGAGAGAGACAGAGTGAAATACTGAACCATAAAGATATCATAGAATGTTTGGGGTTGGAAGAGCCCTTTAAAGGTCATCCAGTCCAACCCCTGCCATGGGCAGGGACATCTTCAACTGGATCAGCTTGCTCAGAGCCTTGTCCAACCTGACTCTGAATTTTCCCAGGGATGAGGCATTTACCACCTCTCTGGGCAACCTGTGCCGGTGTCTCATCTGAAAAAATGTCTTCCTTGTATCTATGCAACAGGGAAGCCTCCCTGCTCCAAACCACTTGTACCTTCAACAGTCAGCGTGGCTTCGGTTTCCGCATTTCCAGCCCTGCACTTGTATGTTCCAGCATCTTCAGGCTTCACCTTCAAAATCTTGAGCTCTGCTGAATGTTCTTCCCGCTTGATTTTGTACTTCTCAGAGGGCTCAATGGGTGTGTGGCCCTTGAACCACTTCACAATCTTCGGAGAAGGCCTGAAGTCACAGGAGAGGATGACTGAATGCCGCTCCAGAGCTGTCTTGTCCTCCATCTTCCTGGTGATGTTTATGTGGTAATCTGCAAAGCAAGGTTGGGAAAGCAGAAAGGGTCAATCTGAAGAAGAGGAAAGTTTCTAATCTGTATTTCATGCCAATGAATTTCATGTATGTTGTCCACAACTGCTTTGTGAACTGCTCAGATGATGCTACAGGTTTCTGTTGCAGGGCTGATTTGCTCTGAAGCTAAAATGGCTTAAGTATCTATAGGGAATGCTTGTTTCTATAAGATAATATTGTATATTATGTACCAAATGTACGGTCTAGTTCTAGTTCAGTGTTTACTGATTTGCTCTCTAATTGAGGACTTTATGCAAGTAAAAGTGAATTAAAGACAAAACAAGGACTTCAAGATGTGGCTGGAGATATTTGCTATGGTGACAGTAGAAGACAAAAAGCCTTGAAGCTTTGTCTCAGATCAAATCAATGACAAAGTGGATTAAGTAAATGAGCTATCAAACTTGTCCAGTTCAGAAATGGGACAAAATAAAATCTCCTGGCAAATCTCATCTCTTTTGTCCTCTTTGGTAAAGTCAAGAAAAAAGCCAAAAACATTCTTATCTCAACAGATTTGAATAGCAGGCACTCCAAACCCATTTAATTGGATCCCTTCCTGACTGCTGTCTCATTTAGTGCATCCTGCATTTCACCCAGCGACTTCTAATTGGCAGCTAAGGAGATCCTCCAGGTACACACACACATTTCCACACCCCAACCAGTGAAGCCTCCACATTGTACGGTATGTATGGGAAATTTCTTTCCAAGGATGGTAAGAGGGAGGATCTAACTCAAGCCAGGACATATCACATTACCTCTGACAAGCAGATGAGCCGTGGATTTTGATTTGCCGATGGAGAACTGCATGGTGCCCGTCATATCAGTGCTGGTTTTCAGTATTGTCAGCCGATGGATGGTGCCTTCTTGCTGCATGATGAAGTTCCTGCCCGCCTGTAAGACTTCCCCACGTAGAGACCACTTGGGGGGTTTGACAGATGGAATGGATATCTCGCATTCAAAGTTGGCTTCTTCGGGCTCAGTCACATCCTCATCACACAACTCCTTTACAATATTAATGGATTGCTCTGGATGAAGGATGGAAAGAGAAAGCAGGGATTTAGGAGTCATGAAAGAACCCTTTCTTTAACATCCTGCACGCTCATGACATCTTGACTTGACTGCACTTGAATACTGCACTTATTGGCTCAAAAAGCCTTGAAACACCCCTTTTTTGTAAAAACAAACATATATATTGCTGGTCAGAGGTCAGACAGTAAAACTGTGGCACTGCCTCAAAAGAATTCAGATCTCCTGATTCCCAGTCCTATTTCTAAAGCCAGTTTCCTATCCTGATATCAAACACTTGGCACTATAGAATGGAAAAGAAGGTTCAGTGATATGCAGATGTTGATAATAGCAAAGACTTTTAGCTACAGCAACGTTTCTCTGAACATCAAACGTTCTCCAGTACATTTGATAAACTTCTCCGGAACACAAATTTCCTTGGGAGAATGTATCACATATTCATTTTCCAGGATGTTCCTGTGCTTATAATCCTAAGGGAAATCATTATCAATGGACTTCAGGAGAAAACAACACTGAATTAAAATACTTTGAGTGGTATTGTGTTTGCAAAGTAACTGACAAGGGCTTTCTGAATCAGCAAATCTTCCTTCCAATGAATATTAGAGGGAAAAGATGGCTTACTACCTTCAACAAAGAAATTAGCACTGCTTTTGTCATCAAAGGCATCACAGGTGTACGTGTCCTCATCTTCATAACCTGCGTCGTTGATGACGAGTTTCCGATAGACGCCATCGCTCACGATTTCGTACTTGTCACTAGGGTGGATTTCAACGTCCTTCTTGTACCACCGCACCTTGGCATTGGCACGGGACACCTGGCACTCCAGGAATCCCCGGTGCTTCTCAAGAGCGATCTTATCTCGCAAAGGCTTCACAATCTTTACAGGCAGCTCTAAAAGGAGTAAAAGAAGGCGGAGTAATCAGTGCAGTTTGCATGCAAAGTGCAATTAAAAACTCGTTAGCAATATTCCTTTTATATTAAGTTATTTGGATGATGAGAGGAATCCTCACTATGCTATGCACTCAACCAGCACACAGCAAGTGGAGAGCTAATGAAAGGAAACCTTTTTATCCTTATTTTACCATTTAAATGGATGAACTGCAGAGATAAATGATGATTTCCTCAACACTACACAGCAGTACTATGGCAAAGTCAGGGACTAATTTCAGATTTCCTGAGCTCCTCATCAGTGTGATAACCCAAATATATTCCTTCTCTGTCTCTATCACACTGTTTAAGTTTAACACCAAAAAAATCTGTATTCTTTTTAAACATACACCATAAAGAAAAAAATGCAGAAGGCGGCTACAGCTTGTTCTCCCTAAAATTCAAACATGGTGCTTAATGCTTTAAGCTACAAAACCAACCTTCTGAGAAAATAAACTATGTTATTTCGCAGAAGTAAATCCCCAGGTTGGTATTTAGCATGCAGTAAGGTAGGCAGGAGTTTTTCTTTCCCTGAAAGCTCTAAGTGTTGCTTCACCTTCTTCATATTAAAAGTGAGGGAAGTTGGTTGGTTTGTAACATGCGAGAGCTGTATGGGCACAGAAAGCATCATTACCTTTTACAGTGAGCTGGGCACGAGATTCTGCTTTTTCTGCCACAAATTTAATCTCTGCTGCATCTTGGACTTGGACACGTGTGTAAGTCAGCGAATAAGTCTTTCCTGAGAAAAGACACACAAGCAGACATAGCTTCCACTGAGCAACAGCTTCATTTTCAAGGCACACTGCCAGGTGGAGCATCTCTCACCCGGTTTTAGGGCATCACCACCTGCTCTCACGGCAGCAAGGCCACCCATTCCTCTATGTCTATGTCCCTTATCAAAGGCTGACCTGACCTCAGCTCTTCCTAGGACCGATGGAAAGTGGTCCCCACCACCTGGAAGGTACTTGAAACAGAAGAATCCCTCCACTGTCAGATGATGCAAATTCCTACCCACTGCTGGCAGCACGTGATGGGGGGATGCATCAAATACACCTTACTGAAGTCCCCACCATGTCACTGTCCCAGCCCCAAAACAAAAGGGGATCTCTCGGCTGAACCTTCTTAACTTGATTTTGGAGGTCAGACCCCTCTGCTTAGTCTCCAATACCCCCACTTATTCCATCCCACCCCTGCTCAAGAATGAGATCCCCCTTTTTCATCCTACCATCTTGTCGCATTTTAATATTGTCGGCAGCCTTCAGCTTGTTGTCGTTTTTGTACCACTGGGTTTCGACCTCATCGTGTGAAATCTCACAGACAAAAGATGCGCTTTCATATTCATTCACTTCTACATCTTCCAGTGGTTTAACAATCTTGATATCTCGGGCTGCGAAATCATAGAGGAAAATAGTTACAGAGAAATCCAATAAATGTGTGTGGTGTGTTCACCTTCTGCATACTTGCATGGAAAAAAATGGGACTGTGTTTTATTCTAGAGCAGCCTCCCTTCCTGGGTGGCTTTGCTCTTCAACACAGTAAATCCATTTTATGCTTGAACCTGCAGATAGATTTACCAGCTACAGTAGAGATCACTGCAAGGGGATTTTATGTATGGGCTTTATACAGGTTTTAAAGAAGTTAAACATATTAATAATGAAAGAAAATCTGTCAAGGAAACTAAACACAAGCCTACAATCTCTTGTATCACTATAAACTCATCTCATTCGTATTTGTCTCTGTGTGCTCTCCTCTTTCTCCCTTGCTTGGGTGTCTGGATGTAGGGACCTCAGCCACATGTGCTTAGAAGATAACTTTGCTTCAGAGTCCCCTAAACTCAGTACAATCCTCTTCAACTCTGCAGCTTTGCACTAATTGATGTCAGACCCGACCCATATTTCTATGCTACTGCCTTGATACACCTTGGATCAACCTCAGGACCAGAGCTCAGGTGCAAGCCAGTCAGCGTTCAAATAGCAACCCAGCCCAGTCACAAAGCCAGGGAGAAAAGGGGAGTTCAGCAAACACTGGAACACAACAGCTGTTCGTGAAGATATCACTGAACACAAGTGGCCACATGAGGACAGCATC